CCCTCCTCCTTATTCACATCCTCCCCTCCCTATCCGTAGCCATTCTGGCTCAAGGTGGTTTTGTTCCACAGGGGAACACGTGGATATGTGCCTTGAGTCTGAGGCCAGTCCCAATGCTTTTCCCGACACTCTCCTCGCCTGGGCACATCTTCCCGCGGGAGAAATCCGTTCGCTCAGGAGGCCACGTGCAGCACTAGCGAGCTGCAGCATCGCCCTCAGCCTCAGCCGCGTCCAACGCGTTCTCGTGATGCGATGGTGGTGGAAGCTTGGACTGCGAGTTCCGTATCAAGCGCAACTTGGGCTGCTGTGCGAAGGGCGGGGGTGACATCTCCTTGTGCGACCCGAGGCCCAGCTCCCGCCTGCCCCCGAAGCGCGCCCCGTGGCGGTCAGTCGATCGGCCATCAGCGCCCATCGGGAGTTCTGAGGTACTCCTGGACCAGCTGGCGCTCTGTCAGCTCCGATCCGGTCCAGCAGCTCCGCACTCAAGCACAAACCCAAGCCCAAGGACCCACAAATGGAGGTCCAAACCACCCTGCGCAACTCGGGCAAGAAGAGTGCGCTGCTGGCGAAGGCCTCCGACGCTGCCATCCGCGCCGAGCAGGACCTTGCCAACGCCCAGAAGCTGTGCGAGAAAGCCACCGTCGAGCAGGTCAAGGCCCAGGGAGAACGCGAAGAGGCAGCCAAGGTGCTGCCAGCTATGGTACAAGCGCCACGTCAGCATGCTGCTCCACCAGCCGGCGACACAAGCGACGGCAAGTGCATCATCTTCGCGGTGGATGACCAGCTGATCAGCGACTTGGCGGAGTTCGACGATACCCAGCAGAAGGACCTACGAGGCATTGGGAACGATATCGAAGAGAAGTTCAAAGCAAGTTCAGGAGCTGTAGAAGACTACTCACGAACACTACACCAAGGTGCGAGCAATCCGCTCGAACCCCGCCGAGATGTTCCGCGGCGACCGGGGCCCGACCGCCAAGGGTGAGAATGGAGTGTGCAGGAAGGCGGAGCAGCTGACCGACCTGGGCAGCAGGATGGCGACAAAAAGAAGACGAGTCGTCCCCGACGCCCACGGCACCAAGGGCAGCAGACAATGCAGCACGCAACATAGCCGTGGACGCCAAGCACCTTGCCGCAATGGAGGCGGCCCGCAACAAGTCCCGCAACCTTGCGGAGGCCGCACCCTCGTCGGCATCTTCGGCGTCTGCTTCTGCCGCTCCTGCACCTGTTGCTCCCGCTGAGCCAGGCCATCCCGCTGCTGGATCAGCAGGCTCCCGCAAGCCCCCAGCCCGCGGGTAGCGGGCAGTCCCTCAGCGACCCTGCCGTGGCCTCCAAGCTGTTCTTCGCAAACATCTTTGATTGGGGCCCAGTGATTCAAGGGTTCATGACGGGCCAAGCGAAGGCGTATGATGTAGTAGGCATGGTAGAGACCCACATGCGAAGCAAGGCTTGCCGAAAGACGGGTGGACATTCACGGCTACCCCGCCCGCCATTCAGGTAGATCTACCACAGAGACTTCGGGAGGAGAGTGGGTCCTCGCGAGAAAGACAACCTCTTGCACCGGCTTCAAGTCCTGGCGCGAGACAGGGATGCAGAAGAGTGGCCGTGACCCTCTCAGCGGTTTCGCCCCTCGGTTGTGGCGTGCGAAGACGGGGGGCATCGTGGCCATGCCCCTAAATTTCTTCCCAGGGTTCGAGCGATGCAGCACCGGCGAGCAACTACATATTCGAGTTGCAGCTTTTCTCATGTTCATCAAACATCGTTGGTTTATCATCGAAAATTGTACATTCCAGCCTCCAGAGTAGAGAGACAGCAATAATTATTGGCTCGGCAAGTTTGGGATCGAGCTCGAGGCCGCGAGGAAATTCACTCTGGCGTCCAGGTCTCTCTCAACACATATAAAGTTGCATTGTAGAGCAAAGCGCTCCTGAGGAAGGGGAGGGGGAGGGAGGAGGGAGGAGAAAGGAGGGAGGAGGGAGAAGGGATGAGGGAGGAGGGAGGAGGGAGGAGGAGGGAGTAGGGAGTAGGGAGGAGGGAGGAGAGAGGAGGAAGGAGAGATCAGGGAGGGAGGGAGGGAGGAGAGGGGGAGGGAGGAGGGAGGAGGAGGGAGGAGGAGGGAGGAGGGAGGAGGGAGGAGGGAGGAGGAGGAGGAGGAGGAGGAGGGAGGGAGGGAGGGACGGGTTGGTTGCCAGTCGCCTGGGGGAGGGGGTGTTTTTTTCAATAGGGAGCAGTGTGACAGACCCCTTGCCCTGCCCGCAGGGGAAGAACGGAGGTTGGAAGAGGAAACGCCCTACGTAAACCACTCACGCCCAGAGGGCTGGTGGGATTCCTCGAGGCTTCGGGACGCGGCCCCGCGGCAGTGAACACGGACGTGTTCTCGCGGCCCTCGCGTTTCGCCCAGTTGCCCCACCCACCTTTTTCCCTCCGCGTCCAGCCCCGTCGTGCCCAGCCCTGCGGTCTGCCTGGCGGCGCGCAGAGGGGCAACGGGGGAAGGAGGAAGACTCTTTGGAAGGACGCCGCTTCTCAGAAGCCCTCCCCCCGCTCCCTGCCACCCCTTCTGCGCGTGGCCGATCTCTCCTCCCGTCCCACCGCCGCCTGCTCTGCCGCTGTCCTTGCCTCCACTTTTGCCTCCGAAGCGTTCCCACGAAAGGAACGTTGGAATCACCATGGCAGGCAGGGTTAGGTTCGATCCGATTTGACCTTGATGCTGGCCGACCCGATCCGATTCGATTTCGGTGTCCTGGCGATCCAATCGGGCCCGATGCTTGCATGGCGTTGCAAGTTCCGACCCGATTCGACTTCCCGGTTCGATGCTGACTGATCCTGCCATGGCGCGTCCGAGTAGGAACAGCAGAGGAGGAGGAAGAGGAGGAGGAGGAGGAGGAGGAGGAGGAGTTGGAGAAGGAGGAGGAGGAGGAGGAGGAGGAGGAAGAGGAGCAGGAGGAGGAGGAGGAGGAGGAGGAGGAGGAGAGGAGGAGGAGGAGGAGGAGGAGGAGTCAAAGTATGCAGCGGCAACTGGGGAAGCAGGTAGCACAGAGTTAAGGTCAGATGGTCGTTGTTACCGACGCCGTTCGGCTCAAGCTTTGAACGTTCGGAAGTCTGACTCATCCGAGCGTAGTGTGAAAACAAACGCGCGCTACTACGCTGAATCTGTCTGGATGTTTTGCATGGTAGCGGAGCACCCACTGCAACGGCAGGAGCTGGATCAGCTGCCTTTCTCCCAGGCCCGCAGGACCCACCCAGTGAACACCGTTGACCCGCGGATCGAGAAACTGGATTACACAGGGCGCCCAGAGATTCATGAACGTGTGTGTGTGTGTGTGTGTGTGTGTGTGTGTGTGTGTGTGTGTTAGTGTGTCGTCAACGGTTGATGGGAACTTTGAGTATCTGAAGACGGCGCTGCGTGCCACACATGAAGGAAACAGAGATTTCATTAACGGCCATACAGCCACGGACACCAAGGAGGTTACTCCGCAGGAAGCCTTCGATGTGCTTCACATGCAACAGAAGATGAATTCCATGCTGAGCAGTTTTGTTAATCGAAACACAGTGGTGGAAAGTCGAGCGGTCGAGAGGTCGAGAGCATGGTGGCGAGCACGGACACGCATGGTGTCATGTTAAGGGATATCTCCAAGTGAAACGATGCCCAGTAACAAAGGCGGTGGGGAAGAAGGAGGCGGCAACAGTAAGCCCATCAGCGAGTTCAAGGCCCTACAGAACCTCGAAGCCTTACATTCAGAGACTGGAGCGACAAGTTACTCAATGCCCTGGCACAAATGCGGTTTAACTACCGTGGAGCAGGTAAATCCCTCACCAAGGAATTCGAGACAATTGACGGAGTCATCCCTGCGGAAGATCTGAAGGACTTGCTTGAATTGTAAGTTGGGTGGTTAATGCATGCTGAGTACCAGAGGGCCAGCGCAGCCAGACAATTGCAGGATGATGACTAAGGGGAGTTTGTGTTTGCCGACGTGGACATGAACGAGCGTGAAGCGAGTTTCTGGTACGCCCGTAACAAAAAACGCGAGGAATCCGACGCACATGGCAAACTCAATGGGGTCAGCAGACGCAGATGGGTCTTGCCTCGTATCAGAAGACTTTCAACAGGTCTTATTCGGCAGTAGCAGGAGTTACGTCGGCGCAAATTATGTCCCTGGCAATGATTCCCGAACAGCCCAGGCGTGTTACAGAAGTGTCTGACAAGCTAGAAGGATGGAATGCTTTGGAGCGGGCGTTGGAAAACGTGGAGGTGCGTGCGCATTGCCCCTGCCCTCCTGAGTAACTGCCCTCCGCGCGATCATGAACCGCGCAATTGGCTGGCTCGATGAATGGTAGCGAGAGCGTTACTTTACGCCTGATGGCCTTCTCGCAGACAGTGACAAGAAGCTCCACGCTGAATGTGAAGACTGGGCCAGGGAAAAGAAGTTGGCGGCGGACGCGAAAAGTAAAGATGCCATGGGACCAGGAGTTATTGACGATGGCTATGGTGGCTCTGATTACAAGGCGAGTTATAACAGAGGTGGTTGGGTTGCTCAAGGAAGGCATGCTGACGGCGGGCCGCTGATGGCCTGGCGGTGGTCGCAGGCAAAGTGAGACCGAACGCGAGAACGGCGATGTGGACGCGGTTGCAACAGGTAAAGGGAGGGTGTGACATTTTCCAAATGCGGCAGAATTTACTCTCGGAAATCCATTAGTTACAAAGGCCGAGGGAAAGGAAGTACATGGGGCAAACGGCAAGGGGCGTAACATAACCTCTCGGGGCAACTACCTTAGGGGAAACTGCGGTGGCAAAGGTCATCGCCGAGGACGAAGCAATTATGGTGGCAAGGGGTTTGGTCAGCAGGTCGATCGCGGGTGCTGCGCATGTGGAGGCAGGGGGCGCGTTGCCGTTAACTGCCCGAAGTCGGCCAACGAAGTGGGGCAGAGTAGCCGGGGAACGCAAAGCCCGCCATACTCCGACAACCGCATGAGTGCGCTTTCGTTGGATTAACGAGCGGGGGCGATCGAATGTAAACAATGGTTGGCTCTGCTAATCCGCTGACCATTGCCGAGCCGCCGGAGGAATTGGCAAAATTATAGCCGGAGTGCAGTATCCCCAAACAGGTTTTTTACACCCACTGCGGTTTCCAAGGTCGATTGCGTGCCCGTCCAGTGCAGGCTGGCATGGCATATTAGAACATGCCTCCTCGTCCTCCTCCTCCTCCTCCTCCTCCTCCTCCTCCTCCTCCTCTTCCTCCTCCTCCTCCTCCTCCTCCTCCCCCTCCTCTTCCTCCTCCTCCTCCACCTCCTCTTCGTCCTGAAAAGGCATCTCGGAGCCCGGAGTTGCGAGGATGTCTCCAGCGTAGCGGGCTGGACCACCTCGCGCGCGGCAGCTCGGACCCCAGAGTTGCGACGATGTCTCGGGCGAAACGTACTGCGAGGAAGTCTCAGGTGCAATGGGCCGGGCCACCTCGAGCGCGGCGTCTCAGAGCTCCGAGTTGCGGGTGCCTCCTGGGGCCTCCTGGGGCCTCCTGGGGACCTCCTGGGGTTCCTCCTGGGCTTCCTGTGGCCTCCTGGACCCCGCCTGGGGCTTCCTGAAGCTTCTGGCCATGTGGCCGTCGGGGCCCCCCAAAATGGGGGGGGCCACGAGAGCAGGACATATCAACGAATCGGCACCGGCTGTGTATTTACTGGACACGCTCTGATAAGGGGGCCTCCTGGGGCCTCCTGGGAGCCTCCTGGGAATCTCCTGGGGACCCCTGGGGCCTGGCCTGGATGTCACGCGGCCTCCCGAAGCTCTCTGGGGCCCTCTGGGGCTCCCAGGGTCCCAAGGGGGGATATGTAACATGTGGTCTTCTGGGCCCCCGGGCTGGGCCACCTCTTGCGCGGCATCTGGGAGCTCAGAGTTGCGAGAATGTCTTGTGCGAAACAGGCCAGGCCACCTTGTGCACGGCATCTCAGAGCTCAGAGTTGCGAGGATGTCTCAGGCGAGACGGGCCGGACCACCTTGCGCAGGACATCTCAGAGCTCAGAGTTGCGAGGATGTCTCAGGCGAAACGGGCTGGACCGCGGCGCGCGCGGCATCGCCGAGGTCAGAATTGCGAGGATGTCTCAAGTGAAACGGGCCGGACCACCTTTTGCGCGGCATCTCGGGGCGCATGTTTGGGGGATGCCTCAGGCGAAACGGGCCGGACCACCTCTCGCGCGGCATCTGGGGGCTCAGAGTTTCGAGGATGTCTCAGGCAAAACGGGCCAGACCACCTCGCGCACGGCATATCAGGGCGCAGAGTTTGGAGGATGTCTCAGGCGAAACGGGCCATACCACCTCTTGCGCGGCATCTCGGAGCTCAGAGTTTCGAGGGCGTCTCAGACGAGACGGGCCTGACCACCTCTCGCGCGGCATCTCGGAATGCAAAAGTGCGAGGATGTCTCGGGCGATGCAGGTCGGACCACCTCTCACGCGGCATCTGGAAGTTCAGAGTTTTGAGGATGTCTCAGGCGAGACGGGCCAGACCACCTCTCGCGCGGCATTTGGGGGCTCAGAGTTTCGAGGATGTCTCAGGCGAAACGGGTCGGACCACCTCTTGCGCGGCATCTGGATATTCAGAGTTTGGAGGATGTCTCACGTGAAACGCCCAATCCCGGACAACTCAGAAACGAGAGTTGCGAGGATGTCGGAAGCGAAATGGCCCGGGCCACCGCATTTTTTTGAGGGCGTCTCCGCTTTGAATTCCCTCGGCCGGAGTTAGCTTCTATCACGACACCCCGTTCAGCAAGCTGTCTGGGGAAAATGCCGAGCCGCCCGGGGAATTGAAACAAAAACAGGCGTGAAAGAAAGAGGATCAACATAATCGAGGCCCTGAACGTGCGCAAAGCGTCACCACCAATTGCATCAACGTGAGCGCGGCTGCGACCTTGGAGATCAGCTGGTTAGCCGCAGTAGCAGTCATTGCAGCCGCAGTCGGCAACCGAAGGGTCGATGTGTGGGGTCAACGCGGTGCCGCAGAGTGACGAGAGACCGAGGCGATCATTGTTGCCTTGGACTCCCGTGCGCGGCATACTGTTGGGCCCCCTGGGGTAGGCGTTCGCTTCCCCATTAAACCCGCCAGTGCGTCCAGGAACGGTGAGCATTGCAGCGAAGCAGATGGGTCCATAATCAGAAACAACGTAAAGAGAGTAGCTGCTGGACGATGCAAGACGAGTGGAGTGAGCGTCAGCATGCCTACTCAAGTGCCAGATTTTCAAATGGTCGTGGTGTCGGCCCGTGAGATGGTGGAATCGCGGGGCCGGGTTGTGCTTGGCCGCGATGCTACTGGTCGGCCGTGCAGTTGCATCTAGCGCAAAGGTGCGAGAAGACGGCGATCCTTGAAGGAAATCCATTTTTCAGTAGTGGCTCAGTTTTAGTGGTGCACTGTAGAGACGCCGTGTTAGCGTGGGGCCGCGTGGTGCTCTGGGAGGGCGTGGGCCTTTGCGCAGTGAAAGGAGCTTGCGGCATGATCGATTTGACTGGGCGCAAGAATGTGATGCTCAAAAGTGATGGTGAATCGTTATTGCTGCTCTCAAAGGCGCTATTCAAGCCTCCTGTATCTTAGAGATGGACGTGGAAGTTAGTCCAGTCGACGATTCCCCGGCCAGTGGCGATGTTGAGCGCGTCGTCCGTGCCGTGCAGGGTCAAACGATAAGGTTAAAGAGCGAGGTGGATGCCCATTGCAGGACGGAGTTCGGCGATGGCCATGCTATTGCGGCTTGTCTGGCGGCATGTGCATCATCTATCATCTATGATTGGCAAGTTCGCGGTCGATGTCGCCGGCGAGACAGCGCGCGAAGGATGTCGGTGCCGAAAGATTGACGAAACATTGTCTGGATTTGGTGGGTGTGTCGCCCGCCTTGAAATACCCCTCCGCAATGGGCGAGAGAAGTTGGGGGCCGAACGGGGGGGGAGGCGTCTGCCTGGGCGTGCATGGCGGAAGTTAAGAGCCAATCGGTGGCACCCCGTCGGGGGCCGTTAAAATTCCGGAGTTTCGACGCAGAATGAGTGGCGAGGAAAAGGGGGATCTGGGCGAAGTTGCCGAGGTGAAGGGGTTGCCCTGGCAACCTGCCTGGCCCCGATGCTTCCATGCTAGAAGTCCAGCGCCCGCGTCGTTGCCGGCGACGGAACGCGCCGATGGGGAAGAGGGGGCCGCGGTAAAGAAGGGTGAGTACCTCAACGTGGGACCACGTCCAGGTTGCTTGCTCTGTGTGCCGCGCGCTCGTGCGATGGGGGTGCTTCGCGCAAGCCGTGCTCCTGAGAGCGTCGCAAGCGAGTTGTCGAATGGCTTCGTAGTCAGGGCGACCCCCAAATTCATGAGAGATCCACCAAGGCTCAATTACAACGAGAGCCCAGGGGTCGCCGACCAGGGGGGCCCGTCAGGATCGCCAGAGGGAAGGCCCAGGCGTAATTTGCCCCCGCCACAGGGCTTGAGAGTGGACTTGCAAGACAGTTTAGGCAACGAGCGAGGCAGGGCTATGCGCTGACATCGCGCGCCGCTTCGCGGCCTTTTACCGCCGCGCGCGGGGGGCTGCCCTGTGGGCAGGGATGAACTCAGAAGTCAGCGCTTTCACTCGTCTCACGAACGCACGAGGCGAGAAAGTAGAGTACGACGACGCGTGGAGCGAGGGGGGGGGGGGCAGGGAAGACCGCGCCACTATCTCATCGATCCCCCTGGAGGCGCGGGGGCTGGGTGCGCGGATTTTGAGATGCAGGAAGGGCCCGCCGCTGACGTGGACGTGGGCCTGGGCCCACTAAATGAACGACGTCCTGAAGATCATGGTGAGGGGGGCCAGCAAGCGCGCGGGCGCAGCGCGATTAACGATGACGATGCTAAAGGCGCCAGAATGGGATTGAACATGTTGGATTTGGGGGCAGACGTCGTCGACTGGCTGATGGGGTCGGGGCGTGACATTACTCCTCAGCTGAACGAATGCAGGGGGGCAGTTAGACTCTGCGGCAAAGGTTGGCAAGTAACTCGAGCGCGCGTTAGTCGAGCATATTCGCCCGCTAGAGCTACAGGCGTGGCAGGAAAGATGGGTCTCATTCCCAGGCTCGCCTAGGACTTGGCGACGCGTGATCAGCGCGACAAGCCGTTGGGAAGGTGGATGAGCGCAACTCAGCGTTGCTTTTAATCGTGCGCCCCGTGCGCGCGGCGCTTGGCGGGCTTCGGACATGTGGCGCCGGGCGGCTGGGGCCCGGGAATGTGAGGGAAATGGTGGGTTCTGGTGTTCAACCTCTTACCTTTGCAATGGGGCTATGTAAGAAGCAATGTCGGAATGGACATTGCTTTCGCGTTGAGCGCATTGCTGGCGCATCGAGTTCGAATCGGCAACACCCCAACATACCTATACTATATGTGCGTCGCCCCCCCAGGGGCGACGCGCGCGCCGAGAAATCTTATGGTATATGCGTCGTGGCAGGCGCTTTTTGGCCACGCCGCTCGGGGCACGATATATTACAATATGGGTATTCTATATGTTCGGGTCGGACGCGCGCCTCCAAGGATGACATTTAGTACTAGTATGTCCATGTGCGTCCCATCGAACGCCGCCCCAGTTCTAATATTATGCAGAAGAGACGACGTTGGGGTCTGCAAAGGGGGGCCTGCGCTGCTACGACTGAACGAGTAGTTCAAGGAGGAAACATGTTCATCGACGGGTTTACTAGGTTCATGACAAACAAATGCCATCAACGAGCCCGCGACAAGCATCTCGAACACATGTTCTCCAACGAGCTTACAACTAAGTTTTATGTGCAGCAGACAGCGTCGGCGCGCGGAGTTCTCAGCGGGCGGGCGCGCCGAGCGATCATAAATTTGCCCAGACAAGCTATGCAGCGCCATGCATGATGGACTTGTTGATCAAATGGGGGCCGGCGGCAGGCGGGGATGTCGTGGTGCATGTGATGAACAAATAGATGTGGGGGTAGAATGTGATGATGGGGATATGGAAATCAACGGTGTGAAAGGGGGCATGGCCAACGAAAGCCCAGCGTGCCGGCAGGGTTGGGCGCGCGAAGACATCGGGGCTACTCGCCTTGTGTTACCAGGCAAGGATGGGCCATTTTTGAGCTCGCGCGTTGCGCGAATCGCCGAAGACTTGCGCAGCGGCGAAACAATGAAGGACATATCGGTCAACTTGATAGTCGGACGCGAGCGGTCGGCGCGAATTTGAGGGGAAACCAAGCAACACCCGGACAACCTACATTCATGTATGAGGCCGTCGGGGAGTTGAACCGAATAGATAGGAGTGCTCGAGATATTCGCATGCAGGCTGGATGAAAGTTGTTGGCGCCTGTGGGGCGCGTGGTGAGCTCGGCAAGATCAAGATCATCGAAGGACGTGGTTTGGTCGTCATGCGCTGTCGAGAGAATGGTCGGTCGCGTGCCTGGGATGTCGATGGTAACGAACTCGGTCCCGAGTTAGCCGTCGCAGCGCGCCAGGACATGGGGCAGTTCATGAACCGCTGAGTTTACGAGAATGTGAAGGAGGAGGTGTGCTAGGCAATTGGAGGCAAGGTGCTGGTCGGCACGATTTGGACCGTTTTTTTTTTTTTTTTTTTTTTTTTTTTTTTTTTTTTTTTTTTTTTTTTTTTTTTTTTTTTTTTTTTTTTTTTTTTTTTTTTTTTTTTTTTTTTTTTTTTTTGTTTTTTTTTTTTTGTTAAAAAAAAATGTTTTTCTCTCAAAGGGGGATTGACATTGCCCAGATCGCCGATCCAGAGTAGCTGCCCAACAGGGTAAACATATCCCCAAGGAGAATTACATCTTGGCAGCCGCGCCTCCGCTGGCGGCCCCAAAATTGTTATTCTCGGTGGAAGTGACAGAGCGAATCGGGTCTCACAAGGGTGATCGCGAGCGGGGCCGCGAGCTGGGGTTTGTCGATGCCAGGCGAGCTTGCTTTTACGACGCCGCACGAAAGTCTCCGCGCGTTAAACTTCCCGAGGAGAACTACGGGCAAGGTATGCTCGTTTCTGTTTGAATCAATGTGTTGAACCAGAGATGCTGCCAGCTACTGGGAGGATTGTTGTGTGGACTTTGCGAGGTTGGGAGAATCTACCAGTGGCGCGGCGTCGCCATGTGCAGTCGGGCACGAAGCAAGAATCTGGTTAACTGTACACAGGGGTAGTGTTATTTTTCTTGACGGCGGCCTTTTTCCTCGACTTTTCGGAACAGAAGTATGGGGGGGGGGGAGTTTGGGATGCATGTGTGTGTGTGTGTGTGTGTGTGTGTGTGTGTGTGTGTGTGTTGTGTGTGTGTGTGTGTGTGTGTGTGTGTGTGGGGGGGGGTGGTTATGGCCTGGGAAGAGGGGGGGGGGGGGGCAATCGGGGGTGCTTAGCTGGATTATCGGGTGGGTGCGCGATGGCTCGCGCCATGGGGCTGATGAGAGGCGCGCGGATATAGTTGTGGAGGAGCTGGGATTGAATGAGAGTGAAGTGTCGGAGAGCGTGGCCAAGCAGTTTCAGACAATGACCGCCGCGGCAGATAACCTTGCCCAAGATCGATGGCACATCCAGTTCTCAGTCAAAGAGTTGGCCAGAAGTATGGCAAGGCCCGCGGTGGGCTCCAGGGGAACTATGTATGTACCTCGAGTCGCCCGATCTACCAGGATACCTGTATTAATGCGACGACACAACGGGTGGATCGACGGCGCGGGCAGACGCGGGCTATGCCAGACTTCAAAGAACGAGGACGTCAACGGGTGGATGAGCAGTGGTGTGGGGATCCCATGTGATTGAATCTTGGAGTGCGAATCAGAGCTTTCTAGCATTGTCATTGGGAGAGGCTGAGTATGATGGAGTAGTGAAGGGGGCATCTGTTGGACTGGGCTTGCAGTCAGTTCTGAAAGATTTCGAGGTGGAAAGCAGCATCGCGATTGCGAGTGAGGCCGCTGCTGCGATAGCGAGAGCATGCAGAAAAAAGACTTAGGTAAAGTGAGACATGTTGAGGTGTGCCAGCTGCGGCTGCACGAGAGTGAGGTATGGGGGCACTGCGGTGACGAGAGTTGGCGCGCATCAGAACATTGCAGATTTATCAACCAAATACGTGAGCAAGAGTGTCTTGAGCACGCGTCAAGACTTGACTCGTCAAGCGGCGCGCGAGGGCATGCGCTGCTGGGCGCTGGCAACGGAATGTTAGACATAGTAGATATCTCGGCTAACTCATGCTTTCACGAGGAACTCTGTTTTTGATTGCCACCTACTTCTTTTTCTTTTCCACAGGTCTGATTGACCATGATGCAGTATACGCTTCACATTGGAGTGGATGTGCGTTTCATCGACGCCTCGCTGTATCGCGCAGTTCCCGGCCAGGCTGTTAACGACGTGGCGTGGGTCGCAACGTGCGCGAGGTTATTGCCTTCGCCGAAGCCGTCAACAAGAGCGCTGCCGCCCCGGCCCACAGCGCCAGCGCGGCCACGGTGCATTGCGACAACGATGTGGAGGCCGCGCGCCAGCAGGCTGGTTTCGTCAACGACGACATCGTTAAAAAGCGGGACTAGATGAGCAGGGGCATCATGGATCTAGCCCGTGCTAACGAAGAACTCGTTCAACAGGAGGGGCAGTTGTCGACGCCAGCGAATATCTTACATTGCAAGTTGAGGTCTTCGACGAGTCGAAGCATTGCCGAATGTGAGCGCGCGCTTACGTTCCAGCGGATTGCAGGCAGCATCGAGGCGCGTTGTGCGCAAGTGGCGGAGGCGCAGGACATGATTGCTGGGCGGCCGCCCGAGCCCTCGCGCCTGATCGTCGTCGAGGCCCAGGCGGGAGTCATCCGCGATGCTGTTGCGGATTGGTTGAATTAAATGGAATGGGTGAAGTGTTGCGCGATCCAGGTGTTGAGTGCCGCGCCGACTTGCCGACGCTTCCAGCGAGTGCGATATTCATTGCGGGCGCCGAGCCTCGCCTTGTGCGGCGACGGCAGTCGCGCGACAGGATTGGCGCTCCACCTGCTCCGCCAGCGCCCCCGACAACTCCAGCGGCTCCGAGTGCGACTGTTGGCAGCGGCGGCAGTGGAGGAACAGTTCAAGCTAACGCTCCACCCGCTCCGGCAGCGGCTCCCGCTCCTCCAGCTGCCCCGAGCCCGCGCGTGACCGCAGGCGGTGGTGGTGGCGGCGGGGGGCCTGCCAGCCCTGCGGAGGCCCCCGCGCATGGGGGGCAGGGGGCGTTGACGGGCCAGAGCAGCCAGCCTGGCGGGCTGAGGCGGCCGCTGATTAGGCGAGAAACCGCTTATCAAGGTCGTTGGAGGAGCGCCTCGGCGACGTCGTGAAAGGATTCAACAATCGTTAGATTGCCGAGGTCGACGTGCTGACCGAAAACATCGTCGGGATGCCCAACTTGAATTGCAATTCCTCGAGGTGGGGGGCGAGTGTGACATTCCCAATTGCCAAGTCGAACCGGGGGATCTTCGGTGGCTTACCGAGCCAGTCAGATACTTTTGGCGTTACAGGTGCCGTGGAAGACATGGCGAGGCTGAGGTCAGGCCGTTCAAGATCGGTGATGAGGCTTTCGGCCGTGACAGCGTTGGCCAGCGTCGAACGTTGGAGCGCGTCTGTGGCCGTGGTGCCAATGGGCTATTGCCGCGTGGAGTCCTCAGAGGTCCTCTTTGGTACGACTCCCTTCGGAATTACTGCGAATTGGAACGTGGGCGCTGGGTTGCCGGAGTCGCGCGCCTGCAGTCGATGATGCCGGGTGTTCCCGCGAATTTGCATATCGTTATAGGTTTAGCGGGGCTTGGTTTCGTGGCGATTCAGTGCTGGTAGCCCGATGTGCAGAACTTCGAGCTCAATGGCATGCTGCTAACGTGGTTAGGCATGCTCTGGCCAGGGAACTGCGCGATCGTGGCCGTCGGCTTTCTTGCCGGGGACTCCAGCGCCAACTATGGCGAGACATCAACGGATACGGCAGCAAGGAGTGATATTCATTGCCGACGGGCTGGCGCAAGCGTTCGTTAAGTTGGGGGGTGGGCCCCATATTCGCTACAAGTAGCATCGAATGCACTATTGCGCGAGTCTCAATGACCAAGAGGTGCAGCTCAACTTGGAGCAGCGCCCCTTGGAATGGCACAGCACCGAACTTACCGTGAGACCGACCATTCAGAACAATATGAGGGGAATGAGCAGATCTACTTTGCCTCGCCGTAATTCACTGGGCGGGGTCTCCATTCGCCGGGACAGCTTTTGCTGGCAGGCATGCTTCACGTCTGACGGTTTCGATGAGTGGAATACTAACGGGCAGCAGCGGTTGACTGACCCAAAGTGCGGGTGCGATAACTTGAAGAACAAGCAAACCAATCCGACTCTGGCACCTTACCCCTGCGCTTCAGCTGCGTCTTACTGGTCAATCCTGAGCACTTGCCATCCCGTGCAGACTTTACCAATCGTCAAACGGACTCGGGATGCTGGAGTAAAGACGGGGAAAGGACCCAGGCGTACGACGACGCTATATACATGAGCCGCGCTCAGAGAGCGCCGCATCCCACGTTGCCGTTCGAGTGCGCCGGGTCGCCAGGCCGCGCAGAGGTCGGCGGGAAGAGCAGCTTCGCGGCTGCCGAGGCATTGCGAGATGTGATTCGTGTTATCGGACCTCACCCGCTTCTCTTTTACTACCTTGTGAGCGTGAGTGAACGTGAGCGGCCGTGCCTCACATGCATGTTAACCACACTGATTCGTTTTTGGAGAGTATTGGCTCATTTTTAAAAGCGACAGCAGCCATAATCATTAACGCCAGCTCTCAGGATAATGCTTCTGTGCCGTTTGTTTTTGCGTGCCACGCGCGCACGAGTTTAACGGGCATTCCAGGTGGCATTGTACATTCACTGCCACAAGAGTTCATGCCGTTCATTCTAACCACACCGTCGCCATATTATATCATTCGTACCTTCTCCGTTGCTTTGGCGGCTGTGTCAGCCGACGGGATTAAAACATGCAGCGGCAACAGGGGAAGCAGGTAGCACAGAGTTGGTGTCAGATGGTCGCTGTTACCACCGCAGTTTGGCTCAAGCTTGTGACGCTCGGAGTCATCCGAGCGTCGTGTGAAAACGAACGCGCGCTACTACGCCGAATCCTTCTAGAAATTGTGTGGGAGGAGTATGATGGGGGAGGAAGAAAAAGAGGAGGAGTAGGAGGAGGAGGAGGAGGAGGAGGAAGAGGGGGAGGAGGAGGAGGAAGACGAGGAGGAATTGGGGGAATCTGTTGGAGTGAATGAATGTGGATAGAAGGAGGATGGGACAGGAGGGTGCTCGTGGCAGAGGGACGTCGTTAAATTAGGCCGCGCGCGCAGGTGCCAGGACACACCCACAACTTCCTCATCGGCGGTGCCTCTTTGTTTTCAGAGGGGGGTGGAAGAAAATGAAGAGGAAGGGTTGGAAAACAATAACAAAAAAGAGGGAACGTCCTAGCGACACGTCAGGTGGTGTGGCATGACGGAATTATCTCGATCTCCCTTCCTCCCCACATAGTAGTTGTTGTCATGCGTATACACCGGTAGTAGATATATGTATATGTGTGTACAAACGTGTATATGTATATGTGTGTGTAGTTGTAGTGCCTCAAGTGGCTCGCACGCATAGATTCAAACACACATACGAATTCGTATTTTTGTTCATGTTTATGCATTCGTAAATATGTATTGATGTATATATGTGTGCATGCATACATGCATGCATGCATATATGTATGTCTGTACTTATGTTTGTATGTATGTATGTACATCGGTATGCACCTATGCCTGTATACATATTATATATATATATATATATATATATATATATATATATATATATATATAGATCGGTACGTGTATATGTCATTTTCGGCCAATCCCGCCACCGTGCATGGATTGAGTCCGAATCCGCAGGGCTGTTCGTTTTGATCTCGTCAGGGCTTTTCGGGGGCCTCCTGGCCTCTTGTGGCCCCGAGGGAGCCTCATTGGGGCAAGCCTTCATGCCGAGTCGGTGGCGAGGTGATCCTGACCGAGGCTCCGTCGACTGCTTCTGCTTCGTCCATGGCCTCATTGGTTCAGCGTCGTGGTGGTGCTGAATTCCAAGAGCAGTATGACCGTGGTGAAGCTCAGGATTGGGATCGAAGAGCGGATCATTTCGCGGGCAACGGCTGGTATGTCTACGATCGGAATGCCCAGAAATGGACCTGGTGGTCCAACCACGCTTACCACCGATGGAGAGATGAGCGTGGTGAGATACCCCGTAAAAAGGACAGGGCAAGGGCAAAAGCGAGGACACCTGTCAGAACCCGTGATATGGTGCATGGCAATGATGAACAAGATGCGGACTTATTACGGGATGTACGATTAAACCGTGCATCGCCAGAGGCTTCCCGACCTTATATCTCATGGTAAAAATCTCCTGATTTGGCGCGCACCCTGAAAGTGGGATGCGTCGGTCTGTGCCGGTTTGGTTTGACGAGCCCTGCCAGGAATAGCTGCCATCCTACCTTGTGTGCAGTTTTTTATATTCTTTTGTTATTTCCTCTTTTTTTGCGCTTGGCATCTTGGGGGCCAGAACGCTCGCGGACGGCACGAAATCTGTCAACTTCCCGAAGCGGGCTGAATCCAAGCCGACGCATCTCGCCGTGGAAGGAGTTGTTAAGACTACCTTTGCCCTCTCTTTTGCCGCCGCCGCCTCCATGAAGTATTGGACCATGGGCAATCGTAGCCGTCGTGCTGATCCGTAGTTGTGTACATGTATTGAAGAGTGAGACAAAGGGGCGCGCCTGCCGTCGTCTGTCGTCGTCGGCCAGCCGGTCCCGTAGGTCCATGTCGGACTCGCTGGTCCAACCAGTTGAACTATTTCTCCTCAGTATGCGTGCTGATGCGGATGTGGCTAGAATATCATCAGGAAAAAGGGGATGTGGTGATCATGAGGAAATTTCTTGCCAATTCAATGGCGAAAAGGCAGCGCCCAGGCGCGCAGGCATCGGGTGGCGCGTGAAAGTCCAGGCTCCCAGGCGGCCGGGCACCTGGGCACCCGGGCGCGCGGGCGCCCGGGCACGGGGACGGGCGCTGTAAGTAATGTCGCATGCCCCCCAGTCCAGCACGCCCATCGCACGCAGCTTGGCCCTGTAGGAGGCTTTTCCTACGCCCCCGGTGACAGCGCCCTCGCGGCGGCCCCGCCCCTGTACGGTACACCCTTCACGCGCTTCGTGGCCCCGGAAGGAGATCGAACGACAGCGATATTCACGATGACGGTATTCACCGCTCCGCATTGTTTGGGCCTTCGCCAGGGTAGTTTTATCTCAGCCTTTACATCGTTGGGCAGGGCGTGGCGCTTTTGCGATGCATTCCTGGCCTCCCCTCGAGAAGCCCGCAGGGGCTTCTTGAAACGGCCCCATGCGGGCTTGCCGCGAGGCTTCTGCAAGCTTTCCCCGAGTCTCGCGGGTTTCTTGATGAGAGGCCTCGTGGGCTTCCCTCGAAGGCTCCCCAAGCCTCCTGGCAGGCCTCGCGGGCTTCCCGAGGGCCCCTTTCGGCGTTTTGACGAGCTTCGTTT